TCCATGATTTAAAAACAAAACAAGGGCGCCTGGGTGGCTCAGTTGGTTAAGCGACTGCCTTCGGCTCAGGTCATGATCCTGGAGTCCCGGGATCGAGTCCCACATAGGGCTCCCTGCTCGGCAGGGAGTCTGCTTCTCCCTCTGACCCTCCCCTTCTCATGTTCTCTCTATCTCATTCTCTCTCTCAAATAAATAAATAAAATCTTTAAAAACAAACAAAAGAACAAACAAAAAACAAAACAGGGGCACCTGGGTGGCTCATTTGCTTAAGCGGCCGCCTCTTGATTTTGGCTCAGCGTATGATTTCAGGATTCTTTCTCTCTTCCTCTGCCCCTCTCCCTGCTCCCGTGCTCTCTCTCTCTAAACCAAATAAATAAATCTTTAAAAATAAATAAGTAAATAATAAAAAATAAAAACAAACAAAACAACCTCTCAAGAAACTAATAGAAGGGAACTTCCTCCACCTGTTGTTATAGGGCATCTATGGAAAACCATTAGACAACAACCTAGGTAATGGGGAAAGAATGTCTGCCTCTGAGATCAGACACAAGGTACACTCACTACTTTTATTCAACATTGTGCTGGAGGACTAGTGATTGCAGGGAAGAAAAACACATAAAAGACATACACAGTGGTTAGGAAAAAATAAATAAACTGTATTTTCACAAGACATGATCATCAGCAAATGACCAACATGCAAAAGAAAAAAAAAGCTCAACCTCAGGGTCAGGTGTTAGACTCTGGGGGAGTAGTTCCAGGAGAAAGGAACTTCTGTTTTTGTTTACCATAGTATCCTAAACACCTAGCACAGTGCCCATCCATAGAAGCAGTCATATTTATTTTGTGAATGAATGAATGAATGAATGGGCAAATATTAGATTGGGGTGGCTCAGTCCTGGAAGGTGACATTTCACTTCAGCCAAGATTTGATTTTAATAACTTTCAGTTTTGGAAAAAGTATCTTAGATCTCGATCTTAAGTCAAATAGGAAATTGCCAAAAGAAGCTGTCTTCCTTTATCAGTTACTTGTGATGGTTAATTTTACGTGTCAACTTGACTGGGCCATAGGATGCCCAGGTTAAATGTTCCTTCTGGGTGTGCCTGTGAAGGTGTTCCTGGATGAGATCAGCATTTTAACTGATGGAATCAGTAGAGTGGATTGCCCTCTCCAGTACTGGTAGGCATCATCCGGATCTGTTGATGGCCTGAATAGGACAGAAGGTGTAAAAAGGAGGGATGAGTTTCTTTTCTCCTGCCTTAGTGCTGAAGCTGGGACATCTCATCTCGTTTTCTCCTGCCCTTGGATTAGAATTTATACCACTGGCTTCCCTGGTTTTCAGGCCTTTGGTCTGGGACTGACTGCTAGTTTTCTTGATTCTCCAGCTTGCAGATGGCAGATTCTATACACACACACACACACACACATATGTATATACACACACACACACACACATAGAGATATTAGAATATATATATTCTCTCTCTATATCCCAATATATATGTACAGAGAGAATATATACTAGAATATGAGAATTAGAATATATTATTATAAATTATATAATTATACATGATTATAGTTGTATATTATTAAATATAACAATTATATTTGTATATAATTCTAAATTATATTAAAATTATATTAGATATATTAGAATATATACATAAATATATTCTGTGTGTTTGTGTTTAGTCTAATAGTTCTGTTTCTCTGGAGAACCCTGATTAATACATTACTCAAATGCTCACTCATATGCTCCTGTGCTTACTGTCATAGCTAAGATTATCAATCCAAAACATTATAGGTTTGCTGCACACTTATCTATACTTGCTTTTTTAAGGAGCTCACGCCTTCTGATTACAAAAGTAATGCATGCCTTCTTTTGGGAATCTAAAAAATGCTGAAAAATTAAGAAGGAAATGAAAATTCCCTAAAATCCCATTGCCCCAACTGCCACTGAGCTCTTCCTCCTTCCGGTTCCTGTTTTCCTCATAATCTGTTCCACTAATTTGGCACCAAAGGCTACAGGCATGGAGATAGAGGTTGATATGAAAAGGAATCAGGTGGGTACCTTGGGGACAGAGGGGGACATCCATGTGGAATTTTCCAGCAGGAAATGCTGTCGTAAACCAGGAGAGATTTCCAGTCCCTATGTGGGGAGGGAGAGGGATCCCCCTGGTGTCGGGTGAAATCTCAGGAAGGGAAGGAGGCTAGCCAGAGAAGAGAAGCAGACCAAGGAGAAAGGAAGAATCTCTTACAATATAATTAGTTTATACTTGCTCCAGAAAGTATATGGAATAAAGCATTAGAAAGAACTTACTTTCTCTTGAATTCTTATCTATAAAGGTTTTCCTAGGCTCTTCAAGAGTGAGATGCTTTCTGTATTTTCTACACCTGTGGAATGTGGCCAGCATTCCTTTCACAAAAGAACAATTTGACATGTGAAGGACACAGAATTAACCAGACTATTACTTCCTAAATGCCATCTTTTCCTTCCTCTGAATATTGATTTCACCTACTCTTTATAAACACGAATTTGTTTGGAATGGCTTTTCAGAACTGTCTATTTTCACACCCACATTAAGAACAATGAATCTGCTTAAATCTATGTTCTCTGAGAGAAGGCAAGTTTGCAAGTCGATCAAATGCCTTGCTGAGTTTTATCAGTTGCATGTATTTATCATCTTCCAGCCATCTTCTTAATAGGCTGCATTCCTACTGCTTCAAGGTCTGCTCACAAAGGACAGCCCTCCTGAGTTTTTGTCATTTGCCAAAAATTTCCTATTGGAAGATTTGACTTGTCTGCCCAGACAGAGACAGAAGTCCAGCCGTAGCTGTACGAATGGTTGCCACATGTCCCCTAGCAGACAGAGGAGATGCCATCTTCTGAACAGAAAAATGGGAGAAAATACCACCAAGGCACCCACGATCTAGCTGATAACACGTTCCCCCAAACAACTTGTTTAAAAGACTTCCCGAACAAAAGCAACATAAACACGAACAACCCTATCCAAAAAGAACCTTCTAAATGTAAATTGTCTACCTCAAACACAAGAATCATAGAAGCCAAATCTTCCCCCTTTTACGTTCAAATCTCAGTAGGAACACAGAAAACGTTCTCCTTCAGGCCCTCAATCCAACATTCTAGGGCCCAATCTCCACAATGTGTTGGATCCCAAAACAACATGCTTTTTTTTTTTTTTTTAAGATTTTATTTATTTATTTGACACACACAGATAGAGAGACAGGGAGGGCATAAGCATGGGGAGCTGCAGAGGGAGAGGGAGAAGCAGGCTCATGACACGAAGGCAGACACTTCACTTATCTGCCCCAGGGGCCCCTCGAACTCCACAGGCCCCAGAAGCAAATCATCTGGCTCTGGGCATGTTAGTTAACGGAATTGGGCCTCCCTTCCTCAGCTATAAAACAGGGCATTACTGATAGCCACCTCATACAGAAGTCTGTTACAGAGGTGAAATGAAATAACACAGAATTGTATATTGCGTAGACTCTAGCACAGGGTGAAGAATCTACAAGTGTTTACCATTATTCTACCTTCACTCAAACCCATTCCTTCCTCCCCATATAGTCCCCAAACTGACTCACAAATCCACCACCCTCTCATCAAACTAGAACCTTGAGCATTCTCCTTGACACCTCCCCCTCCCTTAACCTCGGTCATTCTGTCCCAGCTGGTTCATTCCACTTCTTAAAGATCTAACCTTGTCTTTCCCTTTCTACTCTATTGCCTTAAGTCCTCTGCATCCCCTGGGACTTAGAGCCATTCTTTCCCTGACCTCACTCTTGCTGCTGTACACCTTTGTTCTAAAGAGCACATTGCATGACACCACTCTCCTCTTAAAATCTTTCAATGTCCCCCCACTGCCCCGGGGCCAAAATCCAAACTCCTTGGAAGGGCACAGAGGCTCTGCAGGACCTGGTCTCAGTAACTCCCTCTCAGTCCACCCCACTCCCTAAGCTCCAGCTGGTCCTCCTTCGGGGAAGGTGATGCCAAAGTACTCATCGGCCTCAGTCAGTCCACAACTTCTCCAACAGCTGCTGCTTCTTCCAGATGTAGCTTGGGTGCCACTTCCTCTGACAAGCCTTCCTGGACTTCTAGTCGGATGAGTATCTTTCTTCTTTGTTCCGCCTGGGTCTCTGCCCTAACATTTATCATGCTTTAGTTCTTATCTGCTCATTTGTCTGTCCTCCCCACTAAACGGAGTTGTCTGCGGCACAAAGATCGCCTTTTATTTCCATATCCCCAGAACCTAGCACAGTGGCCAGCAGACAGTTGGTACTCAAGGTACGTGAACCAGGGCAAAGTGTTTCCACCAAAAAGGAAACGTCTGGGGGAATCTGTATCAGGGTTAGCGAATCTTCACAGGGGTTCCTTCGGGCCTGCGTGGGTAGCCACTGCCTGCACGTCCTTCTCAGTGCTCCACTCTCGCACAGTTAGAGCAGACCCAGGGCGGCACAGGCGGAGGCTGCCCCGGCGCCTGCAAATGCACGCTAAGCGGGCTGAGGTTAAATCTTGCGCCCTTTGTTCCAGGCAGCGGAGAGCGAGTGGGTCCGTGCCCGCCCGCCCGGCCCGCTCTGGCCGGGTGCAGGGCCTGCTTGGGCAGAATGGCACGAAAATGCACGGGGGAACTCCGCGTCGGGCAGGGGCGCGCGTGTGCGCGGGCCCTCTCAGTGCCAGCCTCCCGACTTCGGGGTGCCGCGCTCTCCGGCGCCCTCGCCGGGGCCCAGCCTCAGTGCCAGGCAATCCCCCGGGCCCGCCGCCACCGCCGGCGGGAAAGCGCCCGGCGTCCCGGCGTC